CCCGTTAAAATTAATTTCGCCCGTGCAATGCCGGGGTGGATCACTAGAAAGTATAATATACATACGACTATATATATAAACGACCTCCGTGGCCGAGTGGTTTGTACGCCGTGTTTCATGGCGTCGCCGACTCGAGGGGTCCCGGGTTCGAATCCCGGTGGGGGCAGATGTTTGTGTGATGAACACGAGCATTTGTACTCCAGTCATGGATGTTTAATATGTATTTCTATATAAATATACTTATATATGTAAAGTATATGTATTCTGTCCGTTACCCTAGTATCCCATAACACAAGCCTTATAGTGCTTACATTGGGGCTAAGCTAATTGGTGTGAGTGTTGGAAATATTTATTTATTATTTATAATATTATAGATAGATAGAATAGTATAGTACTCCGCGCTATCACTTTTTCATTGTTGTAACTTTTTAAATATCAAAAGCGATATAAGTATTTGTTTTGAATAAAAAAATTGTTAATACAAAATGTGCATTTGGGAAATGGACATAAATGACATTGTTCTGCGTCCATACATAGTTAGCCTAAGAACCAACAACCATAAAATATTATTTCTAGGTTCGAAATCGCAAGTAAATGACTGTAAAAACAAAGATTATTGACGGACACTTCTGAGAACCTAAATTATTAGGAAATCTAATTTTTTTTTTGAGGTTATGTTTAATATTCAATGAAACATAGGTCAACCTACGAACTTAGTATGAATTCAGTTTGAAGTGAATTAATATTACAACTAATTCATTTTATTCGGCGTGATTTTAAAGAATAACTATTAGGAAAAACTTGGTTACGTAGGAATCATGAATAAAATAAAAACTGTAGTTTTGCTTCTTATTATTTATTGGCTATTTTTCACATAATTGTATCATATTGTATTTATTTGTTTAACACATGTATATTGTGTAAATATGCAGCGTGAATGTATATCAGGTGATCTTGAATAATTTGGCAGTATGATCCTCTCGGGATGTTGAGGCACAGGTTCACTAGCACTTGGTAATAAGGTCTCTGCTTTTTGGTAAAATAGCATATTAGATAGCCGAAATAGTAAAAGTTAAATTAAAGGAAAAACAATCGCAAATAAACACACACAACAGGTTGTTCTGTATTCTGAGACAACAGGTAATCCGGAACGAGAATTTTCCGTATGTAAAAAGTACTCTTTGACGAGAATGCACGAATGCCACAGATTACTACGAATGCAAACTGCCTACACCACAACCACAGAGTATCGAGTTTATACCGGCCCTTCACTTGACAACAGTTTGTCCTTGTCATGCTTAATAAGGAATGAAAAGGACAGACTGATGTCATGTTTTTAAATAGCAAATACGAATAGCCAAGTGAAGTGCCGGCATTAGGAAGAAAGAGTGTTTTGTTTGCAGATTAAACACATATTTATTGTCTCAGATTATTTATTAACTTTTTAATTTAGTTTACTTAACTGGAAGTGTCCGTCACAATCTAAATACTGATAATTATCGCAAAACATACTAAGAATTATTATAAATGCCAAATTGGTGTTGGTTCTTAGGCCAATTTTATACTTTATTTTAGATTCACTATTTTAGCGATAGTGGGCCCAATTCTGGCGTGATTCTCTAAACTTAAAACTAAATTTAACATCGGTCTCTCCTTTTCATTCTGTATAGAGAATGACAAGGATATACTGCTGTCAAATTTAAGTCTAGGTTTAGAGAATCATGCTAGAATCGACACCAATGGCTTGCATATTAAAAATAGATATATGGTGCCGCGGACTTTCTTGTAGAATTATTTAAGAGATACATTTTTACTATACATTATATTCGTGTAACTTTTATCGTTTTTGAAGTGCAGGCCAAAATGGCTCGCAGATGGAAGATTTTTTTCCGTCTTACGTGACACTTATTGTTATATTTTGGCCAATTCACTCAGTGACTACATAAATTGTTATCTGCATGTTATTATCATGTATGAGCTATATTATTGTAAAGTTTCATTAAAATTCATTCAGTATTTTTTAGGTGAAAGAGTAACAAAGATCCATACAAACGTAAGATTGAAATTAAAAGCATAAGTGGTCAATATACAACTTTAAATCGTTGTAAATCCTAAACAGTCACATAAAATGAAAAATGGTGTATGAAACCTGCATGATTTTAGATTATCTAGACAATGATACCCCACTCGACATATTTCGTCAACTTATTTTTTTTACTTCGTCACAATATGGCGCCTAATTTTGTCCATATTTAATTTTGATTACTATCATATGTTTAGTAGCACTCCCATGATTAAAACGAATCGATTGATGTATAAATCATCAAAATCGGTCCACGTGTTTGGTCTCTAGTGTGCCACAAAGGAACAAACATACATATATAGACTGTTAAACACTGCACCCTGCCTGCGCGTCGCGCTTCGCGCTCTTGCATTGCGCAGTCGGGTAAAAAGAGTCTCGCTGATGCGATTTAGGTCAGGCAAACACTGTTTAACTTAACTTAAAGCTTAACTGGAAGAGAGTAAAATTATAGGCCTTGAGGACGAAATGAACGTGTACCCACAACAACTGTGTTCTCTAAACAGTTGCATTACATATTTCGTCTCTTTTGCTTCATCATAAAGCAGGTGTGAATATCCAATTGTAACTAACCTATTTTTTGATAATACTGATCAATCTTAAATTACAATACAGTCTAGTAAAAAACCAACCAAATCAATCATCAGAAGCGAAGTTTTGATATATTAGGTTGGAGAAAAAGTTTCTTCGCATTTTATATGAAAATTCAAAAACAAATTGATAAAGCTTATTTACATATCATTAAAGTATGAGGGTGCCATTTTGATAACCATCTTGTAGGTAGCGACATGATCCCATTGCTGCAGAAATTTTGGGGCTTATGATCAAAAACCCGCTAGAAGTGGTTTTGGCAGTCTCCTCGAGTTGTTAACCTGACACTGCCTCGAGAATTCTAAAGAGACCGAAACAGGTGGAAATCTGAAAGTGCAAGGTCAGGACATCTCCCAGACATAAAGATGTGTGAGGTCTAGCGTTATCATGATGAAAAACCACACCCCTTCCGCTCAACTTCTTGCTTTAATCTCATCAATTGTTTGCAGTAGAGTACAGAATCGATGGTCCTTCCTCGCGGTAATAGCTAATGCCCTTCCAATCTGACCATACACACATCACCTTAATGCGAGTTAAACCGGGTTTCGCCAGGATCTGTGAAGCCAGACCGGCCATTGACCACAACCTTTTTTGCACGTTCTTGTCGTGCACTTTTCATCACCAGTTATCAGCTTCATCAAAAATTGTTCATTTTCATTATGTCGTAATAAGAATGACAAATGAGTACACGGCTCATTAGGTTTCTTTTAGTGAGCTCGTGACGCACCCAAATATCGATCTTTTTGTGTACCCAGCTTTTTTCAAATGCGCCAAAACTGTTTTGTCGTCAATTCTCAGTTTTTCAGCTACGTCGTAACTACTGATATGCCAATCTTACTCCACTTTTTCAAACATGGCAGGCATCCATTTTATCCATAACAGGACGACTAGAGCGACGTGCATATTTGACATCTAAATTTCCGGATTGAAAACGCTTGAACCAAATTTGTGCTACTCTCACAGACACTGCACTAGGTCCATAAAAATCACAATTTTTTTTCGCGGCTTGCGTTTCATTTTTTGTGCTAAAATTTTAAAATGTATGGATTTTCTCCATTATTTACTCATCTTGAAAGTAAGAAAAACAAATGAAAATCACATATTTTTCTTATTTGAATTTTTAAAAATTCTAACTTTTTAATTATACCAAAACCAGCCAGATGCAAATGCTATAGCCAAATATTTATTACAAGTTCATAAACACTTTAATGCGAAAAACCTTTTTCCCTATAGCACAGTCATTTGGTGAGAAATATAGTGGTAACCTGGAAAGTTTTCCGGGAATTTTGAAAATTAGTAATTTATTAGTAATTTTGAGGTGCTATTTCCGAATTTCGACTTTGCCACCTCGAATTTTTGCCGCTCGCGCCGCCACATTTGAAAAATGGCGCCTATAAGCAGTTTTTTGACAATATCTCCTTTCCAACTCATTTCACAATGATTTTTTAAAATGAAACAAGAGACAATTGCCTACAATTTATGTATCTACCTTTTTTTATCATAAAGTCAATAGTTTTGGCGTACGAGCGCCGCAAAGCGAGCGGCAAAAATACGAGGTGGTAAAGTCGAAATTCGGAAAGAGCACCTCAAAATGTATAACATTACCAATTGTCAAAACTCTCGGAAAACTTTCCAGGTAAAACTACCACATGACTGTACTACTAACCTATTATATGATACTAGCAAACCAGTGAACCAAATGTTCACCAAAAAAAAAAAAAGTATTTAATGAATTGAGAACTTCGGAGATTTTGTGTGGTTTCGTTTGAAATAGAAATCACGTGATTTCTCGAAAACCGGAAGTGCTACGTTACTCACATCCGGTTTGTAGTCTTATCAGACTATTCTCAACTTATAACTTAAACATTCTCTTTATCTATCTCTTACGGTTTGGCCGCTGAAACAGCACCACGGACGGACGGACGGACTTGTCTATTAGATAAGAGATAATCATCAAGGTCCACCCACTTGCAGCAACTTCGCTAAATCTCAATTTGACTAAAATTAGATTTAGCCCAAACAATAAGCCCAAGTTGTCATTTTTCTATTGGTTAGTAAATCTAGTTTTAGTTCAATTGAGATTTAGCAAAATTTCTGCAAGTGGTCCTTAATCGTGAAATCTTATTTTAAGAGCGTCCAATCCAAACCAGATTCGTCAGTTAGTCAGGTACTTCCGATTTATAAATAGAGTTACCTCAATATTTTAGAGATAGAGCGCGTCAACCCCAACACGTGTATGGTATTAGTTTCCGGGGGATCTCGACACTTCGATAAATTGATGTTGAGAAATAAAGGTATTTTAATTTTATTTTATTTTAAATAGCCTTACCTTATTCCGCACTCCATTAACATCAGTACCATTCCGTACAGCATGCATCTTCCCGCGTACGCCCTGAGGATCACTCGGAGGAGACTGGGGGTGCGCTTGCTCCCTGCTCGGGCTACTTCTTCCTCCCACAATCGCGCAAACTTATCACCAAGTGGACCTGATGACAAATAAATTCTGGATAAGATCGCCACGATAAGTGTTTAAGGAAAATGGACACTCATATTTACGATAATATTATTAAAAGTTCATATTCTAAGCTAAGAGAAGCGGGCATCTTCGCTTCTTCGTGAGCAGCCATTAAATACTCTTTCGACAAAAAGTGTGTAGCTCCTTTTTCAAAGGATTAAGATTTTTATTTAACAGTTTCGCACTTGTACTACTTTCGCACTTGTACTACTTTCGCATTTGTATTATTGGTATGGATTATCCAGATGAGGAATTAAACCAGCCCCATCAGAAGCATGCGCGCAACATGATCATGATAAATTGTATGTTTGCACTTTGGATGTCGTATACTCATTGTATCATATTCATGTAGCGTTAGTTGAATATGATGTGGGAGCAAAGGCTTTAGGATAGGTATTATTAGTACAGTAACGGACAGTAACGTACAGTACAAAAACCATGACGCATTTACAAAAAAATCAAATCCAAAACTTCAACACGAGATTTAAGAACAAGCTTGCCGTTCCATATATCAGATCAGACTCCAAAAATCAAGAGGTTCATTTCTGGGTTGTTGTATTGAATTGTTTAATAAAGTTCCGCAAGATCTGATTGAGCTTCCACTGAGCTAATTCAAATCTCAGATCAAGAATACTCTTATGAATAAAGTTCATGATTATCTAAATGATCGTAATGCATGGACATACTATTTCTTGTAATTTGTTGGGTATGAGTCATTTTTCATAACAGTAATAAGGTACTAAATATTAAAAAAATGTTTATATAAAAACGGAAGGACACCATAATAAGACTTGAAAATTTTGCAAGTTAACTATAAAAGGACAATGGGCAAAACGCCCATCTCCGCCAACAATGTAATTAGTATGAATCGATTGATCTATGAAAAACTAGCCTTTTTTATTATGACACCGTAAAAAACATCCTGGTAGTCAAAAGATATGACACATGGGCTTATTTAAGTAGCATAATAAATTCATTTTATAGTACCCTCATTTTATATTATTAGTAACCATAATAATGTACCCTATCGTACTATACAACCAGATATACGACAAAGCCTGCCGACCATCCTGTGCTTGCACTTACTGAGACACCTCAAAACGGTTTACGGGGGTTGAAGGACTTGCAGTTGCAAATAGTCGACTCGTCTTACTTCGTTGTGATTGTGCGCTCCCTCCCTGTCACTTGATTGATTTTTATCTAACACGCTTTGGAGATTGGAACACGATTATCGGTTTTGTCAATTAGTATGGATGAACTGGAATGATGTTTGCTCCGAAGCGTGGACAAGTTTGTGTGATTTGTGGTCGCTCCGTTTTACATAGAATACAATTAACTATAACGAACGAATATTACCCATGCGGGGATTTTTGGATTTACTCTAGTGCGGCAGAATAACCTAAGGTACCCTTGCACCTTATGAAGTACTCATATCTGACCACTCTATGGAGAGTTAAATTAAATAACTAAATGAATTCCATTATTTCATTAATGTTCGTTCGTGAAAGTACTTGTACCTTTTCAACGTAAAATAACTAAAGACCCTCAGGAGGGAATTTTATGCACTTTTGCACAGATGAACATGACTATAATACCTTTCAAACAAATATTTCAGTCAAGTAATATTCGAGTCTTCTTGCTTAATGAATTATGGTGCCCTTACGTTTTTATATAATTAAATTATGCAATTTCAATTTTTAAAGAAGAAAATTATTCCACTAAATTAGCCCAGTTACTTACTATGAGAGAAGCAGACACAAGGCAGGTATATGCCACACCGGCCGCACGAATTAACTACCCTCACCTAACCTTGCCGACCCTTAACCTTGTTGCGTATACATAAATACCACGTGCAGAGAATAGTATTATTTGACTGCAATTTACTGTACTTTTGAGAATACTTCCACAGACGTGAGATATAATGAGGAAGGACAAAATAGAACCAGTGAGAACGAACTTCCTATATCCAACGAACGATTTTTGTATAACACCTAATTGTCATACAAAAAGTATTTATACAGCAACTATTTTTAGAATAGAATTTGGTCAACCTTCTGTCTGCTAATCGTGTTTGTCTTACGTTTTTACACTATGTCATTGACAATACAATTTTTTTCTTATTTACTGCTAATAATATCGGCATAACTCATGAATACTCACACATGGTTTTAAGTGTTTTCCCCAAAATGCGTCTGGGAGTCTAGCGCTCATCATACCTATTTCCATGCCAAGAATATTGTGTTTATTTACACATTATGTATGTTTGGGCCAAGGAATTGATAAAAAGTTTCCATGGTATTGTATGGGCGTTAATATCTGAGATAAATTACCGGTTACTAAAAAAATTAAAGCCTAAGTTATAAGACGAACGCACGATTTCAGGTTTTATGTTTGTTGTATTTGTGCTCTGGCAAAATCACATACAAATATCGATGCATACATATACAGGGTTGCCGGAACATAGACGTCCAAAAAAACATTTTGTTCCCTCGTATCGTGGGGTATCCGAATCATCCCCAGGTATGTTCCGCGACATTTTATAGTTGTCGAGTTATGAATTATTTTCTAAATTTTCGTGAATTTTGGACCTAACCAACTTAAATAACACTCAGCTTTCATAATCTTTAAAAAAAAATATACTTAAGGAGGCTACTTTTACTAAAATCGGGCTTCAAAGACAGCGAGGTGGAAAATTCTTATGAAAGGCTAATTTGATTTAAACAATTTTTTGGCCATTTTATCATTTTTAAGGTTAATTATTGATAGAGAATACTGGAAACTAACCAACAAATCGGAGGTTTGGTAAGAAAAGTTTTAAGTAAGAAGTGGTAATGTTAAGAAAATATAAATTATAATGTGAAAAAAATATTTATTCTTAAAATTTACAGAACATTTTCAAAGTGGCCACCTCCAGCAGCAATACACATTCTACACCTACGTAAAAAATTGTCTTTCAATCGTGTAAAAGCTTCTCTGTTTTCTCTCACAACACGTTCGGCTTCTGCAATCTTTTGCCTCAGCTCTTGTTCACTCGAACAGTATCGGGCGTATGTATTTGTATTTCCTTGTAATTGTCCTAAACGAAGAAATCTATCGGGTTGAGGTCAGGTGAGCATGGAGGTAACCTAATTGGTCCGCTGCATCCGATCTAACTGTTGGGGTATGTTTCATTTAAGTAATTTCGGACTTGTGTTGCGTAGTAACACGGGGCACCGTCATTTTGAAACATCATGGTTCGTCTAAGCTCGAGGCTCACATCACCCAGCAACAATGGTAGCTCATTTTATAAGAAGTTTCTTAGGTTTCTCCATTAAGTCTAGACAGCAGTTCAAACGGCCCAATTAGTTTACCATTGAGGACACCAGAACACAACTTAAGGCTGAAATGATGTTGGAACGTTGAAGCTCTCACTTCGTGTGGATTTTCAATTGGCCACGTGTGGTAATTATGAATATTAAATATTCCAGATCGCTGTCTCATCTGACCATGACACTTTATTGAAAAATCCAGGATCCTCTTGCTCTTTTTGTAACATTATTTGGCAGAAGTCAATGCGCAATTGGCGGTCTATAGGAAGTAAAGCTTGGACTCCTCGGATGTCGAACACGTGGTATCCTTCATCGTGAAAAATCGCTTGGATAGAAGTCCTCGGGATGTTCAGAGCATTTTTAATTAAACTCAAAAAAACCTCTAAATGTTCAAATCTTAGCTTTCCTGTAGTAATTTTTGGTTAGTTAACAAAGTAATTAAACTTAGGAATGATAAAATTACCAATTTTTTTTAATCAAATGACGCTTTTTATCAATTTTTCACCTAGTTGTCTTTGAAGCCAGATTTTAGCGAAAGTAGCCCATTAAGTACTTTTTTTTAATGATTATGAAAGCTGAGTATATGGCGCATTCTTAAGGGCTACTTAGGAACCATGAAGTCATCTGTTCAGATTTTTAATTTAAAGTTGAGTGATAATTCACCGTTTAAATTTTTCACATTGGATCAACATTTTCATAACTTTCATCAAAGTTACAAAGCTTATGCATAAAAGTACAACTCATGAGGATTCAGTTGACTACACTTCACTTTTTTTTTGATTATTTTTATGTAGATCAGGTTGAAAATTCAGAAAGTAAAATAACCCGAAATCTATAAATAGTCGCGGTACATATATGGGGGTTATTCGGATGCCCCACGATACGAGTGACCTAAATTTTTTTTTTGGAGATCAGGGTACCGGCCACCCTTAATTTTGAATGAAATCGCGCGTTCGTTTTTAAATTAAGGGTTTAATTTCTTATTAACAGGAAATTCATCTGAGATATTAACGCTCATATAATACCAAGGAAACTTTTTATCAATTCCTTGGCCCAAACATGCATATGTGTAAATGAACACAAGATTCTTGGCATAGAATTAGGAATGATAAGCGCTAGTCTCCCAGACACATTTTGAGGAGAACACTTACATAAGACCATGTGTGAGTATTCATGAGTTATGCCAATATTATTAGCAGTAAATAAGAAAAAAATGTATTGTCAATGATATTGTGTAAAAACGTAAGACAAACACGATTAGCAGACAGAAGGTTGACCAAATTCTATTCTTAAAATAGTTGCTGTCAATGTTAAGGATCGGCCAATTTAGTATTCATTTTATATACGTCTGTTGCTCACCAAGTTAAAAGGTTACTAAAGGTTGACATGCTAATAATATTTTCGACTAACAAGAAATTTAAGTCGCCCTACGATTAAAAACGGGTCTAGAACCTCGAAGAAAGGACCTTGAGTTATTTTCCATTGCCTCGTGAACAAACTAACACAAGGAATTTCAACTCTAGTACTATAGTAATAATAGTGAAGACGAATTAAAAAGAATTGCTGAACTGTACCATAACAAATTACTTGGCAAAGCAGAAGGCACACGAACATCATAAAGGACTTTGAATGTTATATAATTGCCTTAAGGCTCAAAACAATT